ATGCCTGCCTAAGAGAATTGTAACAAACAAACAGTGATCATGGTGGCAAATAGTCAAGGAACATCAATAGCTTGGGGTTGAGATACTGGTTAAGGAAAGCAACAAACTGAGATACCAGTCAAAAGTTTAACAAAGAAATCCAGAGAACAAGACAACCATAGTATGTATTGATAAACTTCCCCATATCACAAATGATCTGGAAGGCTGCTCATATATACAAGGCTATGCACAAGCTCAGCAGAAACCAAAGAGGGTCTTAGCTATCTATTAATTCCTGATTGAATGTAAGGCCTTGCACATGCAGAAAATAAAAACCTAGGAAGTTTTGTAACCTGCCTGAACTTTGCATCATTTCCCAAACTGAACTGATGCATCAAGGAAAAGGTGCAAGTGTCACTGGCTCAAGATGTTTCAGCACAGCCCCTCACCAGTCGTTGGCTGACCAGTAAGTTATGCTGTCCTCAAGGAAGCCAATAATGAAGAAAACTGAACAGCCTCACACTGCAGGGGAAACACTCTATAGAATTAGTCCAGGAAGTCACAAGGCAAAACACACAGGCAGTATCAGAATCCAGAGTTGGTGAAATATATTATCAAATATGTCCAGTTCTCAGTAACAGAAGATGATGAAACATGCAACAAAATAGGAAAATGTGACCTGTGGTGGTGGTGGGGACACTCATTAATAGAGGTAGCCCCAGATTGACTTAGGACACAAACACTTCAAAGCAGTATTGTAAATGCTTTCACTGCTAATGGAAGCTTTGTTTAAAGAATTAAAGGAAAATATAATGACAGTAACTAATCAAATATAAAATATCAACAGATGGAAATTTTAAAAGTGATCTAAATGGAAATTCTGGAGTTGAAAATTATAATAAATGAAAATTCACCACAGTGACTCAGCAACAGATTGGAGGTGCAGAGAAATAACCAGCAAAATAGAATATAATTAAATAGATTTTTCCAATATGAAGAACAGAGAAAATAATAATGACCAGAACCTGAGATATGTGGAACACCAGGGACAACTATATCAATACACACATAATGGAATTCCCAAAAGGAGAGAAAGGAGCAGAAAAAAATATTTGGTGAAATAATGGCCAAACCTCCTAAAATTGCTTTAAGTTGTTAATCCAAGAAGCCCAACGAACTGCAAAGAGGTTAAAAACAGAGATCCACATCTAAACATATCACAAACTGTTCAAAGCTACAAAGAGAAAATCCTAAAAGTAGGAAGAGAAAGGTTACTCCTTCTGTAGAAGGCAACCCCAATAAGATTAACAGCTGACCATTTTTTTATAGAAATGGTGGAGGTCAGTAGGCAGTGGGATGACATTCAAAGTGCTGAAGGGGGAAAAACTGTCAACCCAGAATTCTTTATCCAGCAGAACTATCCTTCAGATATTAAGGTAATTTGAAAACATTCCCATATAAACACTGTTGCTAGTAAACACTTAAATACTGAAGGATTAAAATACTTAAAATACTGAAGGAACTTCTTCATGCTAAAACAAAGTGACCCCAAACAATAATTTGAACTATACAAAGAAATATAGAGCACCAGTAAACATAATTACATACTTAATAAGGCAGTATAAATATGTTTTTCTGTTTCATCCTTTTAATTTAAAATATAAAATCATGAGACAATAATTTGAAAGCTATGTTGTTCTTACAGCATAAAAAGATGTCATATGCATGATGATAATAATACAACCAAAAGAATAGGAAGTAGAACTATATTTGAGCAGCTTCTATAATTTACTGGAATAAATTAGTATTAATCTGAAATAGCATGTGTTAAGCTTTATTTTGTACCTCTAGAGCAACCAGTAAGAAAATAATCCCAAATACAGTTTCTTTAGAAAAATAATTAAAATGATATAGTAGGAAACAATCTACTTAACACAAAAGAAGGAAGTAAAGGAGGAATAGAAAAACAAATAAAAATACTTGAGTAGAAAACAAGTAAAATGGTAGGCACAAATCCATATCAATAATTACCTTACATATAAATGGATTAAACAATTATCAAAAGCTAAAGATAGACTGATATTTTTGGGGCGCTTGGGTGGCTCAGTCGTTAAGCTTCTGCCTTCGGCTCAGGTCATGATCCCAGGGTCCTGGGATCGAGCCCTACATCGGGCTCCCTGCTCCGTGGGAAGCCTGCTTCTCCCTCTACCAGTCCTTCTGCTCATGTTCCCTCTCTCACTATGTCTCTCTCTGTTAAATAAATAAATAAAATCTTTAAAAAAAATAAATAAAGATAGACTGATATTTTTAATCCAAATACTTGAGATTCAAAGACACAAATAGGTTGAAAGTAAAATGATGAAATAGATATAACCAGACACATAGTAACCATAAGAGAGCTGGAGTGGATATACCAACATTAGGAAAAAATAGCTTTTTAGGCAAAGAATTATTATTACAGGCGGACATTTTATAATGATAAAAGTTTTAATTCATCAGGAAGATATAAAAATTGTAAATACATGTGCATCCAGCAGCACAATACCACCCAACAACAGTAGAGTACATATTCAAGTACACATGCTATATTGTTAAGCCATGGATTATTATATTATGTCCCATTGGCTAACTTTGGTCCAATACCTGGCTTATACAGCCTGCAAGCTAGGAATGGTTTTTTTTTTAACACTGTTTTTGTACACTGAGAACCCAAAGCCTGGCTGAGAGAAGTTAAAATCTAAAGATAGGTCAGTTGAAGCTATTGAGACTGAGGAATAGAAAGAAAAAAGAATGAAGGGAAATGAACAGAGCTTACTAGACCTATGAAATAGCAGCAACCATATTGGCATACACATGATAGGAATCCCAGAAGGAGAGGAGGGAAAGTGGCAGAATATTTGAAGAAATAATGGCCCCAAACTTCCCAAATTTGACAAAAGATGTGAACCTAAACATTCAAAAAGCTCATTGAACTCCAAGAAGGATAAAACTCTTAAGTGACTCCCACCAAGACACATTATAATCAGGTGGTCAGAAGCCTAGGGACAGAGAAAAATTTAAAAGCAGCAAGAGAAAAGCTACACATACAGTAGATCCTCAATAAGATTAACAGCAAGTTTCTCATCAGAAATCTTGGAATCTAGAAAAGCAGAATGGTACTTTTATTCTATATCTCAAAAAAATATTTTTTCAAGAGTGATTTGGCTTTTAAGTTGAATTCTTGTATGTGACACTAAAAGCGTTAAGCAACCAAAGAAAAAATAGATAAATTTGACTCATTAAAATTTAAAACTTCTTTTTATCAAAGGACGTTGTCAAGAAAGTAAAAAGACAGCCTGCAAAATGGGAGATAATATTTGGAAATCATAGATCTGCCAGAGGTCAAGTAACCAGAATATAGACAGAACTCCTACAGCTCACCAACAAAAAGAAAACTAAAAACTGGGCAAGGGACTTGAATACACATTTCTCCAGAGATGACATACAGATGGTCATCAGGCACATAAAAAGTTGCTCAAAATCATTAGTCATTAAGGAAATGCAACTCAAAACCACAATGATTCTACTTTGCATTTACTAGGATGTTTATAATTTTAAAAATGGACAATAAATTCTGTGAGGTTATGGAGAAATTAGGGCACTGATAACATCGCTGGTGGAAATGTAAAATGGTGTAACTGCTATGCAAAAAAATTGGTAGTTCCTCAACTACCATGTAACCTGGCAATTCCACTTCTAGATATATACCCCAAACAGTTGAAAACAGGAACTCAAATGTTTGTGCACAAATGTTCATAGCAACACAATACACATTAGCCAGTAAGTGGAAACTGTCCAAATAGCCATCAGTGGATGAATGGATAAACAAAATGTCGTATATACATACTATGGAAAATTATTCAGCCTTACGAAGGAATGGTACATGTACTCATGCATGCAACAACATGGATGAACCTTACAAATGAAAGAAGCCAAATACAGAAGGTCACATTGAATGATTTCCTTTATATGAAATATCCAGAATAGGTAAATGAATAGATACAGAAAGAATGGTGATTATCAAAGGCTCGGGGAAGGTAGTAATAGGAAATAACCGCCTAATGTATAACTACTCAGTTGGGATGTATGAGAATGTTTTGGAGAAATACACATAGCATAGAAGTGACTATTTTAAAGCATACAATTCAATGGCATTAGTACATTCAAAATATGCAACCACCACCTTATGTTATGAATTTCTCCTTCATAAAAACAGACTTTAAAATCACGATGTGATGCCACTTCACACCCACTTGAACCTTTATGATAGAAAAGATAGTAACAAGCATTGCCAAGAATATGACAAAACTAGAACCATTATACATTACTGATGGAAATGTTAAATGGTGCGGCCACTTTGGAGAATAGCTTGCCAATTTCAAAGTATCAGATGTTAGATGGATAAACAAAATGTGGTGTATACCTACCTGTGGGATGCATTATAAATAGTATTTGGCTCAAGTCAGTTAAGCAGCCAGGCGACTCTTGATTTTGGCTCAGGTCATGATCTCTGGGTCCTGGGATTGAGCCCAGTGTCAGGCTGTGTGCTCAGTGGGGAGTCTGCTTGAGATTCTCTCTCTACCTCTCCTTCTGCCCCTCCCCCCCACTCGTGCTCACTCTCTCTGTCTGTAAATAAATCTCTTTAAAAAATAGTATTTGGAATGGAATAACAAAGCACAAAGTAATGATATCTGCTACAGCGTAGGTGAACCTCAAAAAAATGGTAAGTCAAAGAGGCCAGATGTAAAAGACCATGTGTTCTATTATTCCATTTATATGAAATGTTCAGAAAAGGGAAATTTGTAAGAGACAGAAAATAGACTAGTGGTTTCCTGGGCTGAGGGTGGTAACATGAATTGACTAAAAGTGGACACAGGATAGCTTTTGGGGGTAATGGAAATGTTCTAGAATTGGATTGTTGGATTGTGGTGATAGTTGCACATGTCGATAAATTTACCACAATCATTGAGTTATACTCTTAGTTCAGGTAAATTTTATGTTAGGTAAATTATTCCTCAATAAAACTATTTTTTAAAACATCAGGTATGAAGCTTGATAGTGGTGTTAAGACTCCTGAAATTGACTTATCAGTGTTTCACTAATTGAAACTATGGCAGTCTCCCAAGTATATCTGTGTCATGTTTTTACTTTGTAAAAATTTCTGATAACTTCTGGATGTGTGTGTGGTCATCTGTTTCATATACCATTTGATGTACTGAATTTATTTTGTATGTACAGAGGATGGTTAGAACGAGAGAGCAGGTATGGTCTGCAACCAGGACACAATTGGTTTATCATCTCCATGCAGTGGTGGCAGCAGTGGAAAGAATATGTCAAATATGTGAGTATGATTCCCCTTTATCTACATATTTCGTAGAATTTTCAACTCCATCAGACTTCGTGTGACTACTGACCAGGAATAAAATGCTTCAATATAGATAAGGATTTGAAGGGGGAAGAAATGAATACCTTTGTGATACTTCTACGGACTAAGCCCTGTGCTTAAACTTCCACATAAATTTCCTCCCTTGCAACAACTCTGTGAGGAAGGTAATAATGGACATGGGGGTGCATGCATATGCACCTTACGTAGCTCAGTTAATCCTCACAGTATCCCTGGGAGGAAGGTGGTATGAACTCATTTTACCTGTGATGAACCTGAGGCTGGCATTAAAGGTAACCTAAATACAGGATGGAAGTTCTGGGATCAAACCTAAGGACTGGCTTTTAAGCCAGTGGTGTCTCAACCACATCAATTACATTATCCTTCATTTGTTCACCTTTTTCGTCAAAATGTTGAAGACCCTTGGGTAAGAAGTACTGATTTTCTTTCTTTCTTTCTTTTAAATTTTATTGTTATGTTAATTGCCATACATCATTAGTTTTTGATGTAGCGTTCCATGATTCATTGTTTGCGCATAACACCCAGTGCTCCATGCAGAACGTGCCCTCTTTAATACCCATCACCAGGCTAACCCATCCCCCCAACCCCTCCCCTCTAGAACGCTCAGTTTGTTTTTCAGAGTCCATCGTCTCTCATGGTTCGTCTCCCCCTCCGATTTCC